GTCTGTGGTAGAAATAAATCAGCTAAGTAGCTGAACCCAGATGACAATGACAGAGATCAGACTGATGCAAAAGTGATCTCGGAGTGGTGCAAAGATCCTGTGAGGGTATGCCCTGAGAAACCAGAACAAAATAGTACCATTATATAGTCATCTGAGCAAATCTCCAATTTGTTTAAGTAACATCCGTACATGTCAGTTCCTGTTGCTATCGCACTACAGTATTTTTCTGCAGCAATCGTTATTTAATGAAAGTAACTAAAATGTTAATTTCAAAATTTTCATGTACATTCTCACTTAATCCTACAAAGAAAAATCTGAATAGGATATTTCCTAGAAGATTCCAGATTACATCTTTATCATCAGTAAATATAGCAGTAAAGATATTTGCAGAATCCTGCCTGAAACCATAAAAAGTTGTTGCCCGAAAGAAGAAACAGACCAGAGTTTATAAACCACTGCAAGGCATCTTATGTGTTTGTTTGGCACTCCACAAAGTCTTCAGAACTGCAGGATTTTAGTCAAGGCTGTTTTCATATCTTTATTCTTCAAACTATAAATAATGGGATTGCACAAAGGAATGACAATGCTATAAAACAGAGAAATCATTTTATCCTGGCCTGGAGAGTGACTGGATTCAGGTCTCATGTACATAAATATGGCACTGCCATAGAAAAGTACCACAACCGTCATATGGGAACCACATGTGGAGAAAGCTTTGCGCTGCCCTTTTGCAGATTGGACTTTCAAGATGGCTGCCAGAACGCGGATGTATGTCATGGTGATAAAAGTGATAGGAACGAGCAAGGTAAAAATGCACCCTGATGAAGTAATCTTTTTAATAACTCCAGTATCAGCACATGCCAGCTTCAGCAAAGCTGGCATTTCACAAAAGAAGTGATCTATCAAGTTAGGGCCACAGAATGGCAACTGCCAAGTGAGAACAGTATGGACCACTGGGAGGACGAGGCCACTCGTCCAGCATATCATGGCCATAAAGATGCACATTCTTTTGTTCATGAGGACTGTGTAATGCAGTGGATGGCATATTGCCACATATCTATCATAGGCCATCACTGCCAGGAGAAAACACTCTGCTGTGGCCAAGGCCAGAAAGATATACATCTGCATGGCACATCCAAGCACTGAGATGGCTTGTCCTGGGCTTTGAAGGTTTGTCAGCATCTGGGGGACAGTGCTGGAAGTATAGCAGATGTCCACACAAGCCAGATGGCTCAGAAAGAAATACATGGGAGTGTGGAGCCGGGCATCCAACCATATGAGGATTAAGATGATTGTGTTGCTCACCAGAGTGAGAGAATAGACAATTGAAAAAAGTCCAAGCAATAAAAGACGGATCTTCAAGCTTCTGGAAAGGCCAAGGAAATGGAATTCAGCCACATAGGTTTGGTTTGCCATTATGGCTTCCTGATCTCATTTTACAGACACGAGGGAAATTCTGTCAACTACAATATGTCTAGAGCAATGAATATCAGTCACTTCCACTTCTGTAAAAAAATAAATCGACTTAATATCTGAAATAGCAATAGCACTTAGACTTATATACCGTTTCACAGTGTCTACAGCCCGCTCTAAGCTGTTTACGGAGTCAGCATATTGTCCCCAACAATCTGGGCCCTCATTTTACTGACCTCGGAAGGATGGAAGGTTGAGTCAACCTTGAGCTAAATGAAAATTGAATTGCCAAACTGCAGGTAGCCAGCAGTTGAAAAAAGAAGCTTGCAGTGCTGCATTCTAACCATTGCGCCACCACGGCTCAAATGTCATGAATCCTATAAAAGGTAGAATTAAATACATTTATCAAATATTTTTGATCTACATACATTTCTTTATTTTTTCTATTTATCACTATGTAACACCATTTTTTCACTGCAGTGTTGTTAGTCCATTTTATATGAATGAATTATGTAGTTATTTAGGTATTTGTCATATTGATATGGGGACGCGGTGGCTCAGTGGCTAAGACGCTGAGCTTGTCGATCAGAAAGGTCGGTGGTTCGAATCTCTAGCACGGTGTAAGGGAGTGAGTACCCATTACTTGCCCCAGCTTCTGCCAACCTAGCAGTTCGAAAGCATGTAAAAATGCAAGTAGAAAAATAGGGACCACTTTGGTGTGAAGGTAACAGCGTTCCGTGCACCTTTGGCATTGGTTAAATTTGAAACAAAATGTAACAGCTTAAACATTTTCTGAGCATTTTAGTAGAGAAAAGCAATTTTTCTGGACCAAACATTGATTTACTTTCATTACAGACTTTTTTTGTTCTGTGAATTCCTCTCCTTCTGCTTTTTCTAGTGTCAAGAAAAGACTTTGCAAGAAAAATGATTGCAGAATAAAACTGTAATTCTGCAAGAATTGTAAGATTTTGCCTATATTGTGTATTTTGGTATTCAGAGAATAGAAGCCCAATTACTATGTTTTGTAGAAGAAAGGAAAATTGTTAGGAATGTAAGTCGCCTAACAGTTGGGTTGGAAAATATATAAACCAGGATAGACATTTTAATACTGTCTCTTTAAGGGAATGCTAAAATGATAATTGGGTGTGGTTCCTCAAACGGCCATAAGATGGAGCCAGAAACCTGGGTTCTGTTCTCCTGTTGCTGAGAGTGTTGCAATTCCTGCATTTCCCTATTGATTGTTGCTGACCATAGTTTTTCTTGGATTTGATGTAAGTCTGTTACTGAACTGTTTTTGATACTGGACTTTGTTATTTGGATTATCCCTGGACTGAAAACTGACTGCTTTAACTGTGAATGACTTGGACTGCTTGTTTGGACTTTGCTTAACCATTTACTGGAAGTAAAACTTACATTTTACTATACAGTGTAGCTGTGTGCTGTTTGTGTATTATTCTTCACCACTCTCACTACGTCTCCCTGTGCGCACTCATTCTCCTAACGGGGAATTACCTCAACAAAAATGATGGCTTTAAATAGATGTTCCCTCCCGTCTTCATGCTAATTTTTTTATCTGCCTAAGTTCAGTTGGAAAATGTGACATTTATGTACTAAATGGGGAAGATGAGGCACGTAAACATTTTTACTCTGTATTCTTAAATCAAAGGTTCTTCACTATGGAATAAAACATTAGACTTTTATGTCAGTACATAATATATAAATATAAATAAATAATATGTACTGTATATATCCCTGATTTAAATTCATGATACATAAATTTTGACTATTTGCTAAAATTATTTTTAAAAAGACACGAAATCTCTTTCATTAGTTAGAGGATAATTAAAAATTTCTTTTTGTGATCAGTAAATTTTGTATGCAAAGTTTTGTTCAAATATTGTTTGATCATTTTCAGATGTCGGTTTATTTTATAATATAAAATAATATTTAGCAAATTGCTTTCTCATTTTCTTTGTTGTTAAAACCTATCTAATAACCATCCCAAATGGAAGTAACAATTCTTTTACTGTATCTTATTTCTTATGCAGATGATAAGCCTGGATTTATCTTCTTCCTTACCTTTTTCAAAATGTCTATTCAATCACGTTCAACTTATAGTAAGTTTCATTTACTTCCATTAAATCCAACTGATTATGACATGATTTTCCTTATTTATTTGTTCTAAATCTGGGATTGAATTATGTTAATGCCTTGATTCTCATTGTTTCAAATCATTCAGGAATATGTGCATCTGTTTCTGCATAGCTTTACTTCTATTTAATGCCAGGGAGATAAACAACAAATACTTTACCAAACTCCATTGTTTGGATAAAGAAACAATGGGGTTAAGTAGATTTGGAAGGAGTTATTCTTCTCCAATGTTTGCTCCATTGTTTAAGGTGCTGGACCAGAAACCAAGAGAGCATGGATTCTAATCTAGTCTACATATGGTAATTTGGGGTCTCTCAGTTGTCAGTGCTAGGAAGTTACTTCTGAAAATGTTCTCAAGAAAACAGCAGAGACTTTTCCACGCAGTCTCAAAGAATTAGGAATGGCTCAGTGGACCATATAATAATAATACATTTAATATAGTTTGTACAATTATTGAAATAAATATTACATGGAACTTAATATATATTTTAAGAGGTATCTAATATTAGCCCCCATTAGATATTTTTGTACATAGAGAGTTAGTAAGAAAATGTTTTATGGCAGGCAAAAGCCCTTGAGCATTCTTGGCTAAATTGAGGTTAGTTACAATTGTAATGGCCATAGAGCCTCAACTACATATTTGGGCATTTATTTTAACTTTTTTTTTTTTTTAGAAAAACAATTATGAATATTCTTCTCCATGGGTCTTTATGGAAAATAAGTTTGTTACACCTCTGAAAATGTGATGTTTTAGCATCCAGGTACATTAAATAGGATTCTTCCTTTCCAGCCTTAAATATGTTTTGATTTCTAATCATAAGAAATAGTTGAAAAATGACACAAATTTGAAAATAGTGCAGAGATTTACTAAAACATTTAGCAGAATGCTTAGACCAAACAAGAGATCAATACTATTCTTAATGGTTATTTTGAAGATCTTGAGGTATTGTATGATCAATGTGACTTTCCTACAAAATTTTCTTGGCAGGATACCTACACTTTAAAGATCTTTAAGAGAAGTAATGCTTGACTAAAACCAAAATTCAATATTAAAAGGAATTTCAAAGTAAATGAAAGTCAGTATCAGTTATATATATGTATTTTGGAATAAAAATGAGAATACCAAATTTTGGAGAATCAATGAATCCACAACAATATAATTCTTATGATTAAACTTGATATTAATTCATCAAAAATATTATTTCATGTTCATTGGACATTTTAAATAATGTTTGAAAACAGTTACATGTTAGATTCTTTTCTGTTGGCATAGTAAGAAAATGGAAGATTCTTAAGCTCATATGAACTGATCCTGTCCAGCATAGAATCAGTTTGGTTTCAGATTATTACACGTACATTAGAATGATTTTGGGAAGAAATAAAGTGAAGGATCTTAAAATAACGTCAAACTGTATACCTGAAGACTGGAATCTCTTGTCTCATGAAGAGTTTTGGCTCTATTTAATTTCTATTATGACAAAGAAGATAATTTTACCTTCATGTAAAGAAATTTCCTAATTTTAAAGAATAGATCCAGGATTGAGTCTGTTGTCTCTGTGAAAAGTCTCTGTGTTCCAGAGATGAGAAGTGAAGCAATTTTTTCTCTATAGCATAGGTTTAATGATAAACATAAGGACTGAATTAATTATATATTTTTATTAATGGCTATAATAATATGGATCTTTCAAATCATTTTTCTATTAATTTGTTTTCTCTTTTTTGTTATGTTTATTTTATTTTAATCACCATGATATATCCAGGTATATGTTTTTTCCTGTATATTCACCATTTATCCTTTTTTCTATTGGCATTGTATTCTATTTCATACTTAATATATATATATATATATCTGTTGAAACTTTTGCTAAAACATTGCATTGATTTTCAATTAAAAAATATAAAGACTGTACTGCAATGCACCCACCTGTTAGTTGTAATGTTGTGGAAAGGTTTGTTCTATTTTTGTCTGTGTTGCATGCCGTATTCCTTCCCGCTTTTATTTATGGGCAGAGAGGTATCTTCAGTTCAGTTTTAAATGGGAGGAACCAGCACTCCAGTGGCAAAACACATGCTTCTTCAGAAGGAAACCTCCAGTTCAGTGGAGCTTTCATAACAAAAATTGCTGTGTGATGCCCTGGAGACCTCCACTTGGATCTAAACCAGTGTTTCTCAGTTTTAGCAAACTTGAGTATACTTCAACTCCCAGAATTCCTCAACCAGCCATGCTGGCTAGGAAATTCTGGGAACTCCATTCCTTTTAAAGTTGCTAAAGCTGAGAAACAATGGTCTGGACCATCATACATACAGATGAAACTCGAAAAATTAGAATATCGTGCAAAAGTTCATTTATTTCAGTAATGCAACTTAAAAGTTGAAACTAATATATGAGATACACTCATTACATGCAAAGCAAGATAGTTCAAGCCGTGATGTGTCATAATTGAGATGATTATGGCTTACAGCTCATGGAAACCCCAAATCCACAATCTTAGAAAATTAGAATATTGTAAAGGTTCAATATTCTAGGCTCAAAGTGTCCCACTCTAATCAGCTAATTAAGCCATAACACCTGCAAAGGGTTCCTGAGCCTTTAAATGGTCTCTCAGTCTGGTTCAGTAGGAATCACAATCACGGGAAAGACTGCTGACCTGACAGTTGTGCAGAAAACCATCATTGACACCCTCCATAAGGAGGGAAAGCCTCAAAAGGTAATTGCAAAAGAAGTTGGATGTTCCCAAAATGCTATATCAAAACACATTAATAGAAAGTTATGTGGAAGGAAAAAGGATGGAAGAAAAGGGTGCACAAGCAGCAGGGATGACCGCAGCCTGGAGAGGATTGTCAGGAAAAGG